GTTCACTGCATCCTGAAGATTTTTTGGCTCAGTGAAATTCTCCCTGTGGTCAACCATAGCTGATGACTTATCCCAAATCAAGTCCCCAGCTGGTCAGCCAAGCAAGAACCTTACTGAAGGGGAGGCAAACAACTGGTTTTAATGGGTAAGAGACAGGAGAAGTTGTAAGAGGCAGTACCATCCTGTCACAGGTGCTAAAAGCAGCCCTGTCACAGAGCACTCATGTGCTGCCTTGTTCAAACTCTTAACTTCAAATACATCTTATTTTTATTATAAATAATAAAAAGAGAGCTGCATAATGCTGCACACTGACTGTGTCTACATTAGCAAGTAAAATGTAAAGTAGGAGCAGATCTATAAAGCGTACTTACTTGTGAGCAGTATCTGATGTGTTTTGGACATTTACTTTGGATTTACTTCAGTCCAGCCATACAGGCCGGGTACCCGCTGGAGTGCCTTTTCAGTGCAGTTTCATCAGAAAAAAGGCCTTTTCATATGCTTTGAGACAGTTCTGCTGTGCAAACTAAAGCACCATAAGTGGATTTTAAAAGTACAATTATGAGCTGAGTTAAAATACTCACTTATATGCACCCAGTGTTAAATAAGGTGTGGGACTTTTGCGGTATTATAGACAGAAAAAGGGAATATCTTTGAAGTGAAAAATATTAGATGAGGCTTATATTTTAACATGTCTTTTTCCTGTTGTCCCCTTCCTTTTAGTTTTAGCATTCTTATAAGAAAATAGAAGATGTTACAAAAGTGGAGTTAACAGGTCAGCAAAAGGGAGAAGAGGAAAAACAGTCTGATCTGCTCTCTTGAAGATGAAACAGAGCTAATGCATATAGAAGGGGAAATAAAGGGAGCAGAGATGAAAAGAATGTTTCTGGTGTTCTTATTTGCAGCTCTCTCTCCAGAAAAAGGCAGGCATCTTAATCACCCATTCCAGAAGATGGCAAACTTGACAGCGCTATTTTTTGCTTGGAATTAGTAGAACTTTCTTCCTGCCTAATCCAGCCTCTTAATCATTTACTTCTTTTGCTCAATTAGGTTTCTGTATCTGTGGACAACCTGGGTGCTGTGTGGTGGCCCATTATTCTCTCAAATGGCTGTGACCAAGAAGCTGACCTTGTCCTTTCCTTCCAGTTCTGGGGTTCTTTTAACCAGAGATCATACTCTTGTTCATGTGAAGTTTAAAAAAAAAAAGAAAAAAAAGGAGGAATTTATCTTGCATGTCTCAGCTAATTTGTCCCTCATATCAATTTCTAATTCCTTTTTATAGAAGGTCTATCTAGAGGCAAAAATCAACTCTGCTTGCAGACTGCTTTTCAACTCCATGGTGTATACAGAAGGAGAATTACTTTGAATCAGGGGGTCGCCTTCTGTTTTCTCCAGGAGTATCACAGCTGGTTTCCTGCCTCAGTCCACTCTGCCTGAGGAAGCGGTGAAGGAGGAGTTTGGCAGATTGGGAGCTGCTGTGTAGGGTCCCTTGGCAGCAAGGAGCAGGGGCTCCAGCCCTGTTGCTTCTGAACAGCAAAAGCAAAGCAGCGCAGCATCCTGTCGGTGAGGTACTCAAATGTGACAGCAAGCTTGCCAGGAGGCAACAGTATCTTCAAAAACTGCTCTCCGGCTTTTTCTGTGCTAATTCAGGCTGCTTCAAGAACATAGTAGTGGGGTGGGAGTACTGCTGTTGTTATTGGTAGGAATAGCTCATTATTTAATAGTTTACGAGTGTTCAAAAGTGCACAGGCCACAGCAGAATGACTGCTGATATTTACTATCCACTGCCATTTGGGGGTTAAAGTTTGTATCTGCAGTGTGGAACTGGCTCAGTTGTAAAACTGAGAGAATTATCTGGTGAGCAGCAAAATTGTAACTAAATTGCAGTCCAGAGTACTAGCAAGTGGCTCTGGATATCAGAATTTAGGCTGACATTGTGACTTTTCAACTGGAACAGCACCCATGTAGTACAAGACCACAATTTAAATTTGCACCTTTCTAAAAACATGTATGCTGTGCATATTAGGAGCTCTTTATTTGCAAGGGTTCATAATTCTTTTTCCCTCATAGCAGCATTACCCAAACCACAGTATGGTGTATGTAGAGCTGAAAAGGTGTACGTCTGACAAGTGGGAGAGGTCTTTGAAAGAGTAGGAAAACTAGTTGGGGGTGGGAGAAAATAGATAAAATTTCTGGCTTTAAAATTTGAGGTACATCGTAGTATTCAGTCATCATTTAATTCTGTCTACAGAAATGGCTAGAGCCAAAAAACAGATACTTTTTTCCTATGAAAATTGAATGTTTTTCAAGATTGTACTGATTTTTGAGGGAGTGTGGAAACCCTTGAAAATGTGGTTTTAAAACTCTATGTGTTAACAAACAGCAATAAATTGTGCTTTGCCTGTATTTCTGATATGATTTTTCTCCCCCTTGCTCAAAAGGGGGAAACATTTTTCCACAGTAAACCTCAGTACTTTTGGTCTAAACTGATGGTCTTTATTTTTTTTTTTACCACTTTCCATTCCACAAAGCCAGTTGTTATTAAACTTCAGCAAGAAAACTGGCATGTGAAAAAAAAAATAATCTCTGTCTGTATGTTTCTGAGTAGAAGGCTGGTAGACAATATTACTTTTTTTTAAATTATTTTTAAACCACATGAATTGCTCTAATTCTTTGAGTGACTCCTGTATCCCAAGAGAACCCATGTGATGAACTGTTTGCCAACTCCCTCTTTGACCCTCAGGTGGTGTTCAGGGAAGCTGTGGGGGGAATGGGACAGAAGGACATGCTGGCTAACGAAAAGGAGGCTGTATAAAAAGCATGGGGGAGCACGAAGGGAAAGGGGTGGTTTGGGTATGGCATTTTGTAGGGAAATTTGGAGCTGCTGTTGCAGAAGGGAAGAGCAAGCTGGATGAACAAGAGCAAGGTTGCCAGGCTCTGCGGGTGAAGGGCCGTGGTATGTGGCGCTGGCTGGCTGCTCAGACCAAGAAAGCAGCCTGTGGCATGGAAACCGATGTGGGACACAAAAGGAGGAAGAAACAAGAGCAAGGAGGCAGGGAAGACCGAAAGAGGGGTGGCAAGAGGCTGAGGAAATGGTGAGCATCAGCTCAGTTTCAAGAAGCAGCAGGTGCACACATCTGAGCTCAGTAGAGCATGCCGCCACCTGGGCTCTAGAAGGGGGACCAGGAGTCCCAAATTCAGGACTCCCTCCCTCGGGATTTGGGGGAACGGAGAGCACCTTAAAATGGCTCTAGTCACGCCTCAGCCTGTTAGTGCTGACAGACTGCAAGACATGTAGTTTACATAACATGACAGAGTTTCTCATTTCCTCTCACAGTAGTGTCTAGATTTGGCCTTGCTTATTGGAAACCTTCCATCCATCAAACACTTCTCAACGAAATGTGCATTTCATCACCTTTTATTACTGCTTCATATAAAATGTGACTACCTACTGCTACTATTGCTCTGTTAGTGCAAGTAGCAGAGATCTATGCACTGCTACAGATTTCAGCTAGGTTAATAAGCTGTGTGGATGCCAGTATTGTGGTATGTGATGAATTTCCTTTTTTTTTTTTTTTTGTTTTGTTTTGTTAGAAGAGATTCTTTTGTTTTTTAATTGGGATAACAGAATACAAGCTTGCAAAGTAAAGCAATAAGTTATGAAATGCCAGAATGAAAGTTGCTTCTGCTATCCCAGTTCAGATCATTGTGTACATGCCTTTAGAAACACTAACTGCAAGAACAAACTTCACAATACTTCCTATGTCAATACGTATTAAAACATTATATATATTTGTTGTCTAATATGTGGCAGTGTTTATTGCACACTACGTGAACCTCGCCTAGATGACAGAATTTCATTTACTCATGGTTTTATGTGTGGTACTTCTCACTGTACTACCAGAGTGCTTCACAAATATTTGCTTCTCCCTAGAGTCACAGATGAATAATCTGGAGGTGTTCCTAAATCAGACTAGAAGCTAAACATGCAGAAAACGCAAGGAAAATACTCCTTCCACTTAGCTGCTCCATGTGAAATGCTTCTGACTTTGATTTTTTTTCAAAAATACTACATGCATAGTCCCAGTTGATTTTAGTTAGTTTTGTGTGCCCAGTACCTCACAAATCAGATGCAAATCTAAAGTTGGAAAGTTAGCAAAGAAAGAGTATACTACTGGAGGTCACTTGTGGAACTCTGGGATTAAAGCTAGTCAGCATCATTTAAGAGCTGATTGAGGTGGGAACCCAGATTTAATTTTTTAAATCAGTGTGTTTATTTGTTGGGGTTTTTTTCACATCTAGCTTTTGCCACATGCACTGTATGTGTCATAAAAGTTGGAAATTAATCAGAGAATAAAGTCTGATTAATGTATTTCAGCATTATCAATCTCATTTATTGAACAAGGCCAGGAACTGTAAACTTGGAATTTCTTGCACTGCAGTGTCAACTTTGATATAATTATGTTCCTGTTAAAAGTATTTTATTCTGTATAATATACAGAGTAATTCATCAGGCATCTATCTCCCGAGAGGGAAATACAATGTCAGTGAATGTATGCTGTGACCTTTATTGAGAACTATGTAAAGTACATGTTCTAATAACATGTTCAAGAAAGCTATAATCTGGACCATTACAAATGCTTGTCTACATTGATTTACAACTCCTTCATCTTTTTTTTTTTTTCTCCCCTACTCAGGATATCCTTTTGCCTTGTTCCAGCGCTATTTCCTCTTCCAGAAGGAGACCTACCTCATTCATCTCTACAATGTGTTCACGGGACTCTCAATTGCTTACTTCAATTTCGGTAAGATAAGTTTGGGAAGAGAGCTGCCTGGCCCAGGGCATGCTGCAGTTTGGGAGGTCCTGTAGTCGGAAAATGTCATGTCTACTTCATCTTTCTCTCTTTCTTTCCCTTCCCACAGGGATGCAGTTCTTTCATTCCCTGCTATGTGTCCTAATCCAGTTCCTCATACTGAGACTAATGGGTCGCACGATCAGTGCCGTCTTCACCACGTTCTTGTTTCAAATGGTAAAACTCTTTCTTACTGCAACAATTTGTAGAAGGGAGCCCGCTGTTCAGTTTTGCGCTTCCCATTAGCAACTGTGGGTGGAAAAGTGGAGACAAATCAAAACCAGCTGGAGGAATTCGTTTGAATAACCCAAACAATGCTTTCTTTCAGACATACCTTATGGCTGGATATTATTGCACAGCCACAGAGCATTATGACATCAAGTGGACAATGCCACATTGTGTCTTGACGCTCAAGTTGATTGGTGAGTGACACCTCCCTCCTATCTCTTGTGCTCTGCAAGCTGTGCCTCAGGGAAGAGAGGACTCTTGTTCACCCCATCACAGGACTTCAAATAATTGTTTCTCACCTCTAGGTCTGGCCATCGATTACTATGATGGAGGAAAAGATCTGGTGAGTAAGACACCATTTCTCCTTCATTCTTCCTCCCCTCCTCTGTGCTGTTCCAGTGAGCTAGAGGTCAGAAAATCAAATTCAAAGAATGGGAGTTAGCAAGCTGCATTCATGGTTTGGTGAAAGCCATAGCTGAAAGGGGAGCCTCTATGAGTGTCTGAGGGCACTGAATTCTGGAATGGAAAAGAATTTGGAACAGAGACAGTAGTGATTAGAAATGGACAAAAGTTGTTTCAATCATGTCAGAACATTATTCTGTCCCCTTCAAAATTCCCCACCATCTCCTTCCCCCAAATCTGTTGCTTTAGATTCCCAATTCCCAGTGCTCTGTGTCTTGTCGGTAGTGTACCTTTAACTTGCAGACCACCATCACTGGACCTCAGTTCCCATCTTCCTTTCCTTTGTTTAGTCTTACCATATCCTTGTGAATGGTTGCCCTTTACCATTTGCTTGGATTTTAGAGCAGATGAAACAGTGGGAGAAGTTGCACAGTACAATGTGTGGGAGAGGGCAGAACACTTGCTACAGTCTCTTGATCCTACTTTAAGTATCTGCATTCCCCATCGCCTTTTTGGGGCCTGAGTCTTCAGCATCCATGGAATCACTTCTGACTGCAAGAAAAGAAGGTTGAGCTGAAATTCCCTAAGCTGAAATTTCAAGTATTTAAAGACAAAGAATTCTTGCATCGAGAAGTAGGATTTGTAGGATGATAAAGTCTTGGAAAAGTACATGCAATTGCAATCAGGGACTGAAAGAGATCAGATACAGTGCTTTTACTATGCCCACTATGCTGGCAGGGTTGCATGCCAATAGATCCCTTCCATGTTTTGAGCTTATTTGGGAACAGAGATCGGCACAACTCGTCTCAACCATTGGGTCTTGTTGCTATTTAGAGGGGCTGGGGATAGAGGGCTGGGGAGAGGAATGAATGTGAAGTACAAAGCAGAAAGTTCCATATACATGGAGAACAAGAACTGAGACCATTAAGGAGGTAGGCTGAGAACATAACATCCAGAGCTAGTGTGAAATCCCCTAGGATGATGTTAATGCCACTCCCTTTGGTGCAGGAGTTCCTGACCCCTGAGCAGCGACGATTTGCTGTCCGGGGAGTTCCTACCTTGCTGGAGGTCTCAGGATTCTCCTATTTCTATGGTGCCTTCATGGTGGGGCCTCAGTTCTCCATGACAGACTATCAGAAACTGGCAAGGGGTGAGATGACTGACGTTCCAGGCCAGAGACCCAATAGGTAATAAAAAGCCACTCACTCCTCACCTTCCTAAGATCCCAGAATGCTGAATCCTCCACATGTTCCCTGCAGCAGAGTGCATTTTACCTGGGCACTAAAGCAGTGTGACCAAAAGTGATTTATAAAACAAGATGGTCATTCCAAAGCTGCTCATAATTCTCTGTTTAATGTCCTAGCATTGTTCCAGGCATGAACCATTGGACATCTTTAGCACAGACTTAGTCCCATCCTGGTGATGTCAGCATCCCAGCTTCCAAATGGAGGCATCTGCAGCAGTGGAACATGGTGACTCCCTATCGCTATCTCCCCTACCTCCTCTTTTCCACTGCTGTTTTTTAAATTATGAGTTTGACAGTCTCTTTCCAAGGCTTTTCTTTGACCTCCATATTTTTCTTTCTCAGTTTTGTGCCTGCTCTCAAGCGCCTGAGTTTGGGTCTCTTGTTTCTAGTAACCTATACCTTGTCAAGCCTGTACATCTCTGATGAATACCTCATCTCAGATGATTACATGGTATGTATTCATTTGGCACTTCTAGGGTGTGGAAGAATTCCACTTCTCTGGTAAACACTGGATCTGCAAGAGGGGATTTTTTTTTTTCCAGTTGTGCATCAATTTAAAAATAAGTCAGCAAGTAGTGATAAGCCTTTCCACAACTGATTTGGCTTTACTGCCTGTCCTGTGGATTCCATTTGATGCAGAACAGGAATGTGTTAAGCTGAACCAAACCACATGAAAAATTTTACAAATAGAGAATTAATCTTAGATGTTACTGTTGCTTTTGGGAACCTTTGTTTTTGTGACCTTTTTTGTATTTTGTGACCTTTTAATGACCTTCCGCTTAACCATTAGATCCAAAGAGCTTCACTAGAGTAACTTGCAAGGTTTACCAGAATCTTTGATATTCTTAGGAAACTGTTAACAAATAATTCCTACCTGCATCTTGTCAGTGTTTCCGTGTCCGTATGAATAAATGAGGGTGTAAATTCCACAATGATTATGCTAATCCCAGAGTCTTCCCAAAGTAACTATTTCAGTACAGGCAAATATTACCAAAGGAAGGAGAATGATTTGTAAATTTGCATAAGCCAATAGCCTGGCAGTCCAGTCCTTATAGCAGCCTCAACACATACATCAGATTAAAACAAAAGATGAGATCTCATCTGCCTTGCCTCATTATTGCCACTCAACTCCGGTTTTTATTTTTGTTCTATTTCACTCTTGTCTCTGCAGGAGAAGACTTTCTGGTTCCGTTGTGGTTACATATTGATCTGGGGCAAAATTATACTCTACAAATACGTAACTTGCTGGCTTGTTACGGTGAGTCTAGATGTTGTTTCAGAAACAAAGGACAAAGGAACAAAGGTTTGCTTTAGTATGCTCTCGGACTTAGTGCTAAATGGAAGTAATCCAAATATCTGGAGATCAGTGCTGGTCAGTTCATCTTACTTTAAGTTAGCAAAGGCTAGCTAACTAAAAAAGCAGGCAGTTTTTAATCCATCTGCAGTGGTGCTCTCCACTCAACACATTGAGAGTCAGAGCTTCCCCAGCTCTGCCCCTTTTTTTTTCTCCATTTTTTGGAAAGGCAATGTTTTCCTCTCATGAATCTTTTTCCATAGGAAGGTGTCTGCATCCTTGTTGGTCTGGGTTACAATGGGAAGGACCAGAGTGGAAAACCTTTGTGGGATGCCTGTGCCAACATGAAAGTCTGGCTGTATGAGACAACACCTTTGTTCACAGGGACCATTGCTTCTTTCAACATCAACACCAATGCTTGGGTGGCCCGGTGAGCAGGACAAAATTCCCCTTCTATAATGTGTTGGTAATCTCTGTGTCAACAGAACCAAGACCCTAGCCTGAGAGGGAGCAGTAGAGGAAGAATCTGCCAGTTTTCAGTTCTGGCACTCTTTCTTCCACGTTTTGCTGCTGTGCCATTTGAAACGGGTTACTGAGTAAGGTAGATCTTTTCATTCAGTCTAAAAGGGCAGTTCATAAACATAGGCAAGCAGTTGATGGCAGGAGGGGGGCAGAGGCTGGAACGGGACCACAGTGAGCCCTTTGGCCTGCCTGCTCAAACAGCCACACTCTTAACAGCTGGTTCCTACATCTTGGTGCTCCCTATACAACAACTCAGCCGGGTTTTGGTTCAGCACTTGCTGAGACATGCAACTGAATCATCAAATATCATTTCCCTGTGTGTTATTGGATGAAGCACTTCTCATTAGCTGGCGTTTCTTTAAGACAAGGACTCGGGTACATTTTGCCCTGGTAAGGAGAGCCATCTTGCTGTTTCTGTCACCACAGGGTGTGCAAAGGTCTACAGTCCCCTGGGCCCTGCAGCTCTTGGCATGGAGAGGGGATGACAGACCATAAACTAGAAGGACTTTGTTTCTTTTCTACTCTAGCTACATATTCAAGCGTCTGAAGGTCCTGGGTAACAAACTGCTGTCACAGGCACTGGCCCTGTTCTTCCTGGCCATTTGGCACGGGCTGCACTCTGGCTACCTGGTGTGCTTTCAAATGGAGTTGCTTATAGTCATCGTTGAAAGACAGGTGCGCTTTGTCTGACTTACCTTAACTTTTCCCTGGAAGCCTGGAAACTGCCATAAGACTTTACTTGGATTAAACATGAAAAATAGCTGCTTGCTTTGAAATTGGTTTTCAAATGTGATAGAGTTCTGTTCTCAAGAGTTTAGTAGGTTGATGGCTTCTGCATGGGCAAGCCATAAACTTATTGTAAAAGCTGATAGGAAGAAAAGTGGAGAACATGGTGTATGAGTAGAGGGCAACCGAAGCAGCTAAAAAGGTTGGAGGACAAGCACGAGCTGAGTGTCTCTGCTAAATCTCCCAGTACTGAGAGAACAACATTCCATATTTAAACCAGATTTTTTTTTAATTAAAACTTTGAGCAGGATGGGCTGCTTGGTTACTTTTTTAGAGACTAACAGCTTGTAAAATTAATTTTACACAGGTGGATAAGTAACTTTGGCCCCAGAGTCTGCATATGTAGCCACAGGACATCCAACTGATAAGAATTCTGTTTTTTCTTTAAATTAGGTCATAAACCTTGTTCGGGACAGTCCTCTACTAAGCACTCTGGCCTCCATCACTGCCTTGCAGCCCATCTTCTATGTGCTGCAGCAGGCTAACCACTGGATGTTTATGGGTTACTCTCTAGTGCCATTTTGCCTTTTCACCTGGGATAAATGGATGAAGGTATTTAGAAGCCAGACAAGCCATGCAACCCCCCTTTTCCCTCCATCCTGTCTCTCAAGTTCTTGGCTCAAAGCTGCTTGCTGATCTTTAACCTTGCCTTTCTCCTTACAGGTGTACAAGTCTATTTATTTCTTGGGCCACGTGTTGTTCTTCACCTTATTACTGGTTTTGCCTTACATTCGCAGATTAATTGTGCCACGAAAAGAAAAACTAAAAAAAGCAGAGTAACAGCCAAAAGGTGAGTCTGTACTAGGTAGAGGGAATCACCTCCTAGTCCAAGTGTGGGAAGTGGGGCAGCAATGTTACATACTAAGGTGAAAGGTGAACATAAAATCATCCAAAGCAAATCTAGCACTTTTCTCTTTTTCAGATTGTACCACCTGTGCATTTGTAGGAGTTGATCTGACACTCCAGAAGCAAAGCATCACCTGCCAAGTTTGCTGTGTTGAAGTATGACTTTTTTCAACGCGAGGAGGGGGAAAGAGAAAGCACAGGGTCCGAGACCCAAAAGGAGGGGAATGGAGTGAGCCTCCTTCCAGATCCTCCACCTTCTGTATGTTGCCTTATCTCTCTGCCGCCCTCCAGTTGGACACTCATGTCTGTCAGCTGATATCAGATGATTGTAAAACACTCAAGGCAGGCACTGTATTGGTTTGGAGCCACCTTCTGACTTTTCTACGTTTGTCATCCTAGATAAAAATTGCTCCTGGTCTTTTTTCATATCGGCTTCATCTCCTTTCCTCTGGGGTCCCTCAGTGGGGAAGTGTGAACTGTCACACACCACTGAACAAGAGAATTCTACAGACTGAGCAACATCAGCTGCAAGGCGAGCAGGACACGGCTGAGAATTTCAGTTCCATGATAAAGATGGGCTGAGTTCCTGCTATAAAGGGATTGAGCCTGCTCCTGTATGAAAATGAGGAAGCAAAATACACAAGCACTCTTACCAAAAGCAACATTTAATAGGAGGCAAAAGGCTCTGTAGGGCAGTCCATTTAAAGTCTCATTGATCCAGAAGCTACAAAGATGAAATTGAAGCCCTTTCCCTTCCAGGAGCCCAAAGTTGCACCAGATCCACACGGAAGTGAACGAGCCTTTCCAGAATGTGGAGTCACTGTATGGAAGTCCATCATGACAGCAGCAGAATTTCACACTACTCCCCAGGCTTCCTCAAAGGCAGTAGTAATTTTAGCACACGTCAGGGCAGCAGAGAGGGGATAGTTGCTGATGGAGACCATCTTTTCTGTATAGTCAACACTGACCTGAGAGAAAGAGGAAAAAAAAATTAAACTGCAGGTTTTCACTTACTCCCATCTATCTCCACTGCTTGGAGAGGTACAGTATTCCTCCAGCAAGACAAATGCTAGACCTCACTAGTGCCCTCTTTTGGGAGGGAGAAAATTCACAAGTGTTGCAGCATTGGGCCTTTTTTTGACAAGCCTACCTGGGGAAAAGAAAGGAGGGGGGGCGAGACAGGGAGTACCAAGCCTAAAAAGCGCAGAAGAAAAAAGAAAAAAAAAAAAAAACATCCTCAGAACAAGACTGAAATCTGTGCTGATAAAGATTTTTGTAACTCCAAATAAGGGATATGTGCACTTACCGAACCATGGGCAAAAGCTCCCACAACAATGGCAACTGGCTCTGCTGTAGGAATCAGTTCACGCAGATCTGACACTTTAGGAACTGCAAAAGAAGTACCTATCTTCATACAGCCCACAGGGAGATGATCACTGACTGGATTTTTAATCACCTACAGAAAACAGAAAGTTAACAGGGGTGTAGAGGTGAGAGACCCTGCCACATAGTTGCTTGTATAAAAAACCCCAAACAACCCACTCCTACATTGCTAGCTGAAGTGGAGGAGTGTTGCAACATTACCTGTGAACAGTCAAAGAATGTTTACCTTCAGCAATTTCTGAGGTCCGTCAGCAGCTCGAACACTGAGCTTATGCAGCAACTGAACTGACAAGAGAATAAAATTATTTAAGTTGTCTGTTCTTTTGCTGGAGGAATCCTATCCTCTACCTAGTGATCAAAGGTGAAGTAGACAAAAAGGTCCATCTTTATAGAGTTCTCAGCATCACCTAAAGCAGTTCTAAGAAATGCTGATCAGCAGGTTATTTTGCTGCTAGAGTCTCACACAAGCACTCCCCACTGTGCTAAGGAACACATAGTTGGACTATGCATCCTGGGACTCACAAAGACACCTTCACATGTTTATAAAGTTGGTGCAACCTTTTGACTCTTTCCAAAGTTCTTCTGATCCTGACCATCTTCCTGCATTATTCTGTGGCTGGTATAAAGTCTGAATGACTTACCCATAAGACCACAGAATCGATCAAAAGTTCGTGGGATTCTGGTTTGGGGATTGACTTCAATTAGTACATTCTTCTGGGTGTGGATATAAACCTGCAGGAGGCCAGCCCGATTCAGCGGACTGTCCATGAGCATCAGGAGACTCTGAAAAACACGCAGTAGAAAAGTAAAACACCCAATAGAAAAAGCACAAGAGAGTGAACTCTTGGAAAAGTAGAGCGTTAGGCCCTACAAATGCAGAAGGGACAGATGCTGAAGCAGAAAGGAGTTCATCTGACTATGGAGGTTCTACTGTAATGCTGAGAGGTAATCCCATAACCAAATAGACTAAACTTTCAACCACAAGCATGGCGGGTAAAGCCAAACTCGCCCCCGTTCCAGGGGCACAAGCAGACCCCCCAGACCCGAGGGGAATCTCCCCGGGCCGGCTGCCGGCCAGCTCCACCGCTGCCCCGAGCTGCCCAGATCCAACCGGTACCTGGTGGGTGATGTCGGGTCGCACCTCCCCGGGGTCCCGGCCGTTCCTCAGCAGCAGCGCCTTATGCTTGTCGCAGTTGAGGAGCTCGAACGTCTTCCCCACCTACGGCCAAAGTACAGACGACGTGAAGAAAGGCCCCCGCGGCCGCCTTCAGCCCGGCCGGACACCCCCACCGCCCGCACCTTCACAGTCTCTAGACTCGCCCCTTCTAGCACCACCAAGAGCCGCCTCTGCCCACGAGGCCGCTTCGCCTCCACCGAAGCGTCTTCAGCAGCAGCCTCCTCCTCGTGAGGCCGCCTGGGCGCCGCCATTTTGCCGCGGCCGCACTGGACGTGTGGACTATGAGGAGCGAG